ATGAGTTATATTGTAATTCATATAGGTTATATACAATATACCTGCATCACTGATCATGATGATACCTACTGCTCCTAAGCTCTATTGAGTTAAGGCTAGTAGTGTAGTGCACACCGTTCCTATGGCACCTAAATTGCAGAATGTGAATGACACAATTATACGCGTAGAAACAATATTACACTTTAGAACTACGCGGACTTGGACACATCGTTAGGATGTGCAGGTACCACGACGTTGCCTAACATTGGGGCTTTGACGTGGTCGGCGTCAGCGTTGCCGTCGTCGGGGCGGGCGACGGGGGTTTGGCGGTGGTGGTGGCAGCCGTCGTTGTAGGGGAGGGGGTGGTAGTCACAGGGACTGTAGTAGGGGATGGAGCCTTGGTAGTCGTAGTAGGGGTGACAGTGGCAGCCGTAGTTGTGGGGACAGGTGTGGTGGTGGATGTAGGGGCCGGTGTAAACGTCGCGTCCACGGTGAAGTTGCGCTCGACGGACATGACTTTCTTCGAGTCCTTGCGCACCATGGGGGTGAACAGTGTGACTTTGACCGTCCAGTCTTTGGAGGCACCAGCCACGGCCGACACGTCTACGGTGAACTTGTCTTTGAAAGTCGTGACTTCTTGGCCGTTGTTGAACCACTGGGTGGAGTATCGTTCGTTCGGAATCTCAACCGGACGAAGTTGGCCCAGCGGAATGAGCTTCAACGCTACGTCCTTGCCGTTTACGACAATGTCGTCGACAAACGTCACGCGACTCAAAAACTGCTGCCACATGTTTTCCTGGCACACGTTGCAAAACTGGGGCGAGGTCATGTTGCGCATCAAACACTTTTCGTTGTCAGGGCGGAACGTCTTGTGACTGGAGCCGTCCCACGTCGGGTACGCTCCAATGTACTCTGGGTCGTCCATTTTGAACTCGTCCTCGTTGCCGTACTCGTACACTTCGACGCTGCACAGTTGCTTAGCAATGGGGCCAGCAAACGATCCGTAGCCCGTGACTTCTAGTACGTGGTCGCCCGCCGAGAACCCCCCCGAGGCACTCCTGTATTCGGAGAACGACCGGTCCTTCGTCCCCCGCGTCTTCCATTCCAACGGCTTGCCGTCCAACGTGATCGCGATCGAGTCCTGGGTATCGGCGCCCGTCACAGACAAGTAGATGCCCCAACGCTGAAAGATACCGGTAGATGTAAACT